CCTCCTCCTCCTCGTCCTCCTCCTCCTCCTCCTCCTCCTCCTCCTCCTCTTCCGCAAGGCCATGGTTGGCAACCCGACTGTGTGCATTAAGAACGTCATTGACGACATCTCGCTGCATGCAGTCGGTGGGGAGACAGTCATCACGATGGAGCTGGCAGCTTCGTTTCGGTCTGTGACGACGGGCCTGCAGCGCATGGGCTTGCCCATTGCCATGAATAAGGTTGGCCTGTCGGCTTCCTCCTCGGCGCTGGCACATGAACTGTCCAGGCAGTGTGATTTGCCTGCCAAGGTGCGCGCCCAGGTTCACAGGGACCTTGGTGGTGACGCCACTGACGGCGCCAGGCGGTGCGTGAGCACCCAGCACGAGCGATTTGTTGAGTCCCAGCAGAAAGTGGCGAAGGTCCTAGCGCTTAGAGCGGCTGGGGCTCAGTGTGGCACCATTTTTAGGGCAGGAGTCACGTCGAAGGCCCTCTGGGGAGCCAACATCCAGGGCCTCCCCAATGGCAAGCTGAAACAAGTTCGCCTTGCCGCGGTTAGGGCGGAAGGAAGGCTCCCAAAAGGATGCTCCTTTGAGTTGGCCTCGATGTGTGTGAGGGGAGGCTGGGTTCGGGATCCCTTGGTCATCCTAACGGCCGATGCTCTCCGCACCTACAGCCAGATCCTCCAGGATCAACGCCTGGCACCTATGGTGGTGCAGTCCCTTTTTTCCAGTGGCCAGGAGTTGCTTCAGCTGTCCAGGTCTTGGGCCCGCGTTCGAGACCCCATTGCGGCCCTCCTTCTGACGTGTTCCCGCGTGGGCCTTGTGTTTGAGGACCCCTGGACCCTGAAGGAGGCCACGGGGGAGGTTTGGGATCTTCGCCATGTCTCCCCAGCGTTCCTGGCCAGGGGGGCCCGCTTCGCTGCTCGGCGTTTCTCGGACAAGGAAGGATTGGCCAAGATCGACCGTGGTCAGGGCTGGTCTGGTGAAATTTTCTGGCGGCCCTTGAACGAGCTTCTGCATAGACGCTGGAAGCTTGAGGGGGATGGCGGTGGGTTTGACGGGCGGTGGGGGATTCGGGAGCAGAGGACTCTCCGAGGTCTCGCGATTGGCTCGCATTGGTGCCTTGCCGTCGCACTGTCTCCTTTGTGGGGAAGCTATCGGCAGCCTGTTCCGTCGTCACTTTGATTGCCCAGCGAGGCTAGGCTGGCGTCGCGACAATCTGCCGCAGGACCTGGTCTGCCCAGTGCAGCGTTTGCGAGTAGGGCCAGCGCACTTGCAAGAGAGGTTCGCCAGGGGGATCCTTCCCGACCCTTGCCAAGCTTTCTCCCGACTGGGGTGGAACCTTGAGTGGGGGTTCAAGGTTGAAGGACTAGCGGCGCCTCTGGCGCTCGATGGTGGCCATGTTTTTTGCGATGGCTCTGGGGTCGATGGTCTCTTCCCGTCATTTAGGGTTGCTGGTTGGGGTGTGGCGGTTTTCGACCATGATCGCCGACCCCGGGCGGCGTGGTATGGGGCGGTCCCCCCACATCAAGGCCCCGACCAGGTAGCCAGAGACGGGGAGGATTACGCCATCCCCGGCCTTGAGATATCTAGTAGGCAGGTACACGATTTATTCCGATTGCAAAGGCACAATTAAATGCTGTCAGAATGCCAGATATGCGCAGAGAGATGGCAACACTGGAAAGAGGCATTCCATGAAGGAACGCCCGATCTGGTGAGTTTCTGTAAGGTGGCGGTCCACACGTCGATGACCGATGTGAGCGAAGGGCGTACCAGCCACTTTGAGAGGGAGGGCAATGCCGAAGCTGATCGATTTGCTAAGTTGGGTGCGGAGCTATGTCGTTGCCCGTCCAATGTGGTCATGATGTCCAAAGGCATGCTCCATGTCGCACGCCTGCTCCTTCAGTTCATTAGTAGGGCTGAAGGCCAATATGTGCAAGAAGGCAGGTGGGACAATGTTGGAGCCCAGGGGCTCACAGAGATCTCCCTGGAGGGGGGATCCGGCTTTGAGGAGGCCCTTGAGGCGGTGAGGAGGCAGGAGGAGGGAGGTGACGAGGGTGCTGCTGCTCCTGCTCCTCCTCCCGACGCTCCTCACCAGCCCTCGAGACCTCCATCTGAGCCCTTGGTGCCCGAGCTGCTGGCGCTGGCAGAGGATGCCCGCCAGACCCCTGCCTTCATCGGAGGGCACGTTTTGCTGCAATTCGCGGTTGAAGGTAACCAGCCTCCCATCCTTTGTTGTTCGACCTGCGGGGGGTATGCCACGGTGTCTGCGGGATCCAGAGGCCTGCGCAAGGGCTGTGGAGGGTCCCAGCAGGCCTTGGTGGACCCAGGCAGGAAGAACTCTCGGGCAGTCTGCAAGGGCAAGCACCCCAACAGGCCTCTCAAACTGTGCTCTTGGCGTACTCCTGGGGCTTGGGCGCGAGAGCTGGTGGGGGGGGGGCTCGGAGTCCAAGAAGGCCCATATGGGAGCTGGGGGTTTGTCCAGAGCCACTTCGGACCATCCTGCACGTGCATTTTGGT